CTTATATTCAAGTTTGAAATTTTAAACTTCAAGGACATATATGGAAAGATGTAAAATTTATTATTTGGAAAAGGAAAGTGGACAACTATTTTGGGACAGACCAAAAAGGAAAGCATGACATCTTTTTTGGGATAGAGGGAGTAATATGTAGCAAGAGTTTGGTCTTCCTGCTTGAATCTTGATATCTGTTGTTGGAGTTCTTACAGTTTTGCAAAATTACCAACCGAGGAATACATCTCTTCTATAGCCTGCCATAGCTCTTTAGCTGTTTTCACAAATAGAAACTTTACTGATCTGTGGCTGCACTGATTGCAACAATCACGTCATAACTAGTGCATTATTTTCACTCCACTCTTTGAATTCAGGATCACTCTTGGAGGGATACGTAACAGTCCCTTCAATATGGTCGATCATCTTACGACCAGTGATATGCATACGAGTAGATTGAGCCCACTTCATATAATTCGTCTCATCCAGGCTAACAGTCGTAATACTAGGCCTGTATGGTGATCACCACTACCTCCCAATATTCGAGAAATCATTAAACGCATCTTTTATTGCCCTTATTCATAAGAAGGGCGGCGCTTATGATATTAAGGACTTTCGACCAATAAACTTAGTGGGATGCATATATAATCTGATTGCTAAGGTTCTTATTCTTAGGATGAAAAATGTATTGGATGGAGTTATTTTGGAGTCCCAGAATGCTTTTGTTGGAGGACGGTAGATCTTGGATTCTGTTCTGATAGCAGGGGAATGTGTTGACTCCAGGTTAAAGACTGGTCCCTGGCGTCTTAAGCAAACTTGACATTGAGAAAGCTTATGATTACGTCAATTGGAAGTTCCTTCTTTACTTGCTTTAGAGGATGGGGTTTGGAGATAGGTGGAGGAAATGGATCGAAACATGCATTTCGTCCGTCATGTTCTCTGTTCTAGTGAACGGATCTCCTACTGGCTTCTTTGCGAGCTCTCGAGTTTTGAGACAGGGAGACCTGTTGTCGTCTTTTTTATTCCTTATAGTTATGGAGGGTTTGAGCAGACTAATAAGGAGAGTGAAGGATCTGGGTTATATTAAAGGGTTCAGAGTTGGTAGAGATGTAGCTCATCAGATGGAGATCTTCCCATCGGTTGTTTGCAGATGATACCTTGGTTTTTTGTGACGCTGATGTGTCTAAACTTAGATATTTGAGATGCATTCTGGTGTGTTTCCAGGCGGTCTATGGGCTAAAGATCAATGTTGGTAAGAGTGTACTTGTCCCTGTAGGGGATGTTCCAGATATTTCCTTCTTAGTTGCAGTTCTTGGGTGTGGGGTGGGTGTTTTTCCCCTTTTTTATTTGGGATTGCCTTTGGGGGTTTCCTCCATGAGGGTGGGGAGTCAGGACCCAGTGATCAATAGGTTTGAGAAGAGATTGGCAGGATGGAAGAAGTAATATTTGTCAAAGGGGTGGAAGGTCACTCTTATTAAGAGTACTCTCTCGTCCCTACTCACTTATTTCTTATCTTTGTTTCAAATCCCATGCTCTATCGCTGGAAGGATTGAAAAATTTCAAAGGGACTTTCTATTGGGTGGAAGGGGAGAGGAGTCCAAGTATCATCTTGTTAAGTGGGAGTAAGTTTGCAAACCCTTGTAGTTAAGCGGTTTAGGCATCAGAAAACTGGTTCTTTTTAATAGAGCTTTATTAGGAAAGTGGTTGTGGAGATTTGGTAGGGAACGACATCGCCATTGGAGAAGGGTTGTCTCGTGTCTTTTTGGGGAGGAGAGTGGTGGCTAGTCCTCCCGTCCAGTCTTTGTTGCGGGGGGTGTAGGCATATGGAAATTCATTTGGAAGGGTTGGGATGTCTTTTCCTCTCACATTAGATTCAAAGTTCGTGATGGTAGACGTGTTCGTTTTTGGGAGTATTTATGGTATGGAGATCAGTTGTGTTCTTATTCCTTTCCTAGACTTTATGGCATTGCCGAAAATAAGCACGCTTGCGTAGCTGACTGTTACCGGCTTGATAGCAGCAGGGTTACGTGGGATGTGCGTTTTAGGCGTTCTTTTCAAGATTGGGAGATGAACGGGGTTTGTGTTTTTTTGGATTTGTTGTATCAGCAAAAGGATGTTGGCAAAGGTAGTGATGACATTTTGTGGGTTCCTTCCACCCATGGTAGATTTGGTGTTCAGTCCATGTTCCTTTATTTGTCCAATTTCATTGATCATGACTTCCCATGGAAGATTGTTTGGCGTTCTAAGGCTCCACTTAGAGTCGCTTTATTTGTTTGGACTGCCGTTTGTGGCAAGATTTTGACGTTGGACAATTTGAGGAAGAGAGGCAATACTATTGTTAATTAGTGTTGTCTATGCAAAACAGATGGTGAGTCTATGGATCACATTCTTATGCACTGTCCTGTGGCGTATGATTGTTGGAACCTCATCTTTGGCATTTTTGGCGTACATTGGGTAATGCCCCATTCCTCCATAGGATTGATTAACGCATGGAGAAGATGCCTAGTGAAAAGCCACGCTCGTGACTATTGGAGGATAGTTCCACACTTTGTTTGGTGGTGTATATGGAGAGAGAGAAATAGCAGAAGTTTTGAAGGAAAGGAAACATCTATGGCGACTTTGAAAATGCATATTCTTCGTTCTATTTTTTGTTTTGTGAAAGGAAGCGATTGCTCCTTGACTGTTGATTTAGTTGACCTTTTGGACTCTATTGGTCCTTAGGTTCCACCTTCGTTTTTTGTATTAGGGACGCGTTCCCTTTTGAATGCTTTTCTAATCAAATTTTACTTATCAAAAAAAAAAAAAAAAAAAAAAAAAAAAAAAAAAAAAAAAAACAAACAAAACTTATGGAAGACCCAACTTCTTTTGAAGTCACATGCCAGACATTTTATCAAACAGTTTCTGGGTATTAATCCTCATAAACAAAACCAACAACAAAATACGTAGAGAACCACCTCTCTAACACACAAACTTCAACTAGAAAGATTACCATTTTCTGAGATGCATTTAAAAATGACCACATAGTTACCACACACATCCTAGAAAGCAACAAAGTAGACTATACCAGAATAGCGAACGATGAAGAAAAGGCCGTTGTTGCAGAACCTTACGAACACGAAAAAAAGCAATCGAAACACCAATCGACTTGTGAATCCGCGGTACGTGTGGATATGATTAACACTACTTCCTTGCAAACAAATCCCATCTTGGAATCTCTTCAAAACCATTCACACCCACTAGGGTTTACACAAACTTGCCCTAGGGCTGTAACTACACACCTAGAGCTTTACAAACCATGCTTTGATATCATGTTGACTTTTAAGAGATAATCAAATCAAAGAGTAAAGTATAAGAAGAAAAAGAGAAGAAAGAGGATGAGAGAAAAAGAGAGAGAGATGGGGAAAGAGAGAAAGAATGAAAGAATACTTTCATACTTCCAGCACATTATATTTATAATAATAAGTTTCAAAAATTACACATAAGCCCCAACATTATATAAGTAATAGCAAATAAGCCCCTGACAACAAACACTGGCCCTAAAATTTTTGAGCTGTTATATACTTTGGGATTACCAACTATAATTGTATTTAATGTGATAACAACTTATAGCTAGAACTTATGAGGACCTAAAATAGATAAGATAAAGAAATGATGACTTCATTAGGAAGGGAAATGTCAGAATAATATCTCTGTTAAGCAAGTCATTTTAATTACCTTTGGTTCTGGTTCATCAATACTGGGAAAAAGTGAAGTTATAGTGCCCTTGCTTTTTTATTTATCTATTATTATTATTATTATTATTATTATTTTCTTGGGCTAGAAGATAGCTTGAACAATTGCTACCGTGGATACCTTGATTATTATTAGGATTGATTTTTTCTTTTTCCTGTTCTCATAAAATTTTAAAGATCTGGATTGTAGTTGTATAACAAAGTTAGAAAAATGCCTAGAGAAAAAAAAAAAAAAAAATTTAGAATTAATGTGATGCACCAAAAAGAATCCTACACTGATAGATGCACCATTTTTTTCCATTGCCTCGACTATGAGCCATTGCGCCTTTCTTTGCGTCTCTCTACTTTGTATAAAGGCTTCTCTTGGAATCACTTCGCTCCACTTCCTTGAACTGGCTACCAACGCCCAACTTGCACAAGTTTGATTTCAGCCCTGTAGATTCTGTTCGTCATAAGCTTGGTCTGGAATTCCCAAAATAAAAATAGAAAAAGAAAAAAGACAGGTATATGAGTTTTCTGACTTACAGCCTAAATAACATGAGGTTTAAGAGAGACTTTTTATTTTTAGTAGCAGTTTATCTTCCTTCAGATGATGCCATGGAAACAAATTGCTCTGTATGCATAATTACGGCCTCTTAGAAATTGTGCATATGCACAATTGCAGCTTCTTAGAAGTTGTTGCTATTTTGTAGTATTTGAAGTATTTTACTTGACTGTTCACTTTTTGGCAGTGTTATGTTAAGATGTCTAGGTCTGCATATAATCAACTTGCTTCTATGTACGTAGTTGCAGCTTTTTTGCTATGTCCTTTCTCTTTTCTTTTCTTTATTTTGTAGAGGTTTCACAAATGCTAAATGCGTCATTTTTCTATGTTGTGCTGCTAAAATTAGTTGTCTTGCCATCAGCAGGTGGAAAAAGGACCTCTTCCATGATTTATCTGTGGAATTTGGATATTTTTCTGCTTTACTGTCACCTCTCTCTCTCTCTCTCTCTCACACACACACACACACACATGCACCACATATATACTTATGCACACATATGCATATATACTCAAAGGCACATCTGGTCATGTTTTTAGATTATCCCATTTTGCCGCCCTATAAATAGTTTTTCCATTGAATAAATATTCTTATTGAGATATAAAATCTAATTACGCTCCCTGAATAGGATGTGAGTTTTATATCTAACACCACGTTCAATAAATGCTGTCATATTTGATTATGAGATTGATTTTATACCATTACAATGTGCTATGCATAATTTATGTTTATGTTTTAGGCTTGCATTGAAAATGTGAGAACACGGCTTGATGATGGAGCTGGCATTGTTTTAAGTGCAATGCTGGAGGCAACCGGAAATAAAGAGACTAAAGTGAAGATGGAAAATTCAGGTGATCATCTCTCTCCTAATATTGCTTAATTTCTTTAACCTCTAATTTGTGTCCTTTGTGCTAGTACATTTTAAGTAGATGGTTAAGCAGTTTATTTTGTGTTGGAGGATAATTATAGGAGTGATTTAAGTGTTGACAGAATGTTAAAGTTGCTATACTTGGGTAGCAAGTTGTTGCCGTATATGTATTCGACTTTCTGTGTAACTCCTTTATTATAAAATACTTGTAGGGCAAGAAATTTCTATTCTCTAGCTACAAGTCTTCCCTGATTCACCTATGAATAGAGGTGCTGTAAACAATATTAAGAGAGAATATAACAAAAGTGATGTAGCCCTTTGGGCTTTGTGTGTAGTGTTTTTCATGTTTTAATTTCTCTCTTCAATTTTTTTATCTTTCAGCATTTTGTATAATCCAAGATTTGAAATTTAAATTAATTAGTAGAGATGGAAATTGTTACGACAAACCCAGCGAACTTAAACAACAATCACGAAACACGACAGAAAATTAAACACACCACACATACAACATAAAGATTTATACGTTGTTCGGCAAATCCTATGTCCACGGTAGAGATCCGGCTAAAGACTTAAAAGTTTCTGCCCCACTCTCTTTTTGTACGTTTTCAGCGTCTCTCAATTTTACACTCTGCCCTTATATATCGGGTTACAAGAGAGTACTAATTAGGGTCCACGACCACAAGCAAAAATGGGTCAAAAGAATTTCCTTAGGGCCAACCCCCAAAGCTTGGGCCCAGACAAAGCTCATCAACGCGACCCGCCACCAAATTCGGGCCACAAACATAACAGAAATGCACCCTGTTAGCCCACTTCTCTAGCAGCCACCTAGTCTCTATTGAGTTGAGTTTGGGTCTTGGTTGGTTTGAGAATACCCCAACCCTTCCTATGCCAATTATACCCGCGAATATAAAAGTAAGGGCTCCATTGTTTAGTAGCTTCTTCGTGTAGCATGCTTTTGTGTCAATGCACGTTGTATATGAAACAATGAGATTGGTAACATTTTGTGTCTTCTTTTGTATATGATGAATGTTTAAAAAGTGTAGATTGTCATACAACTAAAGTTTACAGAAAAATGGAAGCTTTGGATCATTCTATAATAGGACTTCTTCCCCCACATCCTGCAACAAAGCCTAGAAGCTATATAGCCCAAAGGCATCATTGTGAACGACGCATATAGTAGTGGCATTCATAAAATTTCTCTCTTTTTCTTTCATGCAGTTTCTTTCTCCTAATTAGTTGCCCTAGTAAGTTGTTTTTATTTGCTTATCATATTTTGAAAGGTTAAGATTATGTTGAATATGATAAAAAAGAAAGAAAGCTTGATTCACAGGGGTGTACACCATTTCTCATTTCTTGCTAATTAAGTACTTATACTATGATTTGCAGTTCCCCTGTCCATGGATGCTATTTATGAAGAGGTAATAAAGAGTATAGATGGTCGTACCATGACCTTAGAACTCGTCAGAGTTTCCCTTGTCCAGTTGGGATGCCATCCCCTAGATGAGACATATAGTATTGGTATCGTATTGTCTTCTCTCTCCTAGTGTATTTCTGTCTGAGAAATATTTATGTGGATTAAAATGAGTATGAACCTTAACGAGGTTTTTGCAAATATTTAATTGACATGCACATAGATATATTTCTTGCACAGATTTGAAGAGCATTATCGAACTGGCTCAAAACGAGGAGGTCCCTCTCTTTTTTTTTTGGTCCAAATATGTGGTGAAGTTAACTTCCTCTCTCATTAGTCTAGATAAAAGCCAAACTATTTCTTCCATGCTGCAGGTGGAATCAATAGTGTTGAAAAGATATGGGAGGGAGGCTTACAGGATGTTCAGGTTATTGTCAAAGGCTGGTCACCTACTTGAAACTGATAAGGTAACAAATTATTATTGATAAATTTGCTTGGAGTAAATTCAGAGGTGATCCAGAAATAATCATGTTGGTTGCCATTGTACTTAAAAGAATATATTGACCATTTTTTCCCCTAAGATTGATACAATAAGTGGACGACTTTATTTAATGTTCATTCGGACCATTGGTTGCTTTATTAATTGAAAATGAAATAATCTAGTTTTTTGATATTTTTGTCATACGGCATAAAGTTGGGTGCAAATGTTGGGAATGGTTGTGCCCTTTAAACCAATAACTGAATGTATTCGACATATTTAATTAATAGATGTCTGATTTTATAATTACATGTTTATGTACATATATGATGAATGCTTGTATTGATTGACTCAAGAGTTGAGTCAAGTCTCTTTGACAAATATTAAATGATTTATGTGCATGCACGATGGAGCTAACTAAATGCATAGGAGTTATAAATTTTAGTTTGTCATAAAAGAGTTGGTTCGCACCCTTGAATAATGAGTTGGTCACTGTATTATGATAAGGTGTAATGTGGAAGTATTTATTTGTTGATTATCTCAGAGGTTATAAATAATAGTGCTTGTACACATTAATGTGTAGGACACATTGAACTGGATGGAGAATAAAATCTTGAAATTATGATAGCCGTAGTTAGAGCTTGTGAAGGGAATTTATGTTTAGGATTAGCGAGGAGAAGTGGAAGAAGAAGGAGAAGAAAGAGAAGTCAGAGAACGTAATCTGGTGGTTGTAGGGTTTCTACACCACCTTTCTTATATATATATATATATATTGAGATAAAAAAATTACAATAATGCCCCAAAGTAGACAAGTAAATCACTAAAAACCCCTCTAACTCTAACACTCCCTCTCAAGCTGGAGCATACATATTAAACATGCCCAGTGTGAAACACAACCGCTGAAAGGCACCACGAGCTAATGGCTTTGTAAGAATATCACCCAGATGATTGCTTAAGCAAATATAAGGAGTAACAATCTGTTTCCAGATCAGCAGGTCGCGAATTAATGACAATCAACCTCTATATGCTTGGTACGCTCGTGAAAAAAGGATTGCTAGCAATGTAGATAGCTGCTTGATTATCACAATGCACAAGCATAGGAGAAGAACATCAATAACCATCGATTCACCGGGATCCAGATAATAAAGCTCGTCCTTCTCAGTTCTCATTCCCTGAACCAATCATCTTTTTCGTCCTGAGGTCCTGAAAAACATATGATGTTGGAGAAATGTTATTGAACAATGTAATGTTTTAGTCAATTTGTAACGACCCGTTCATTTGCCTTCCTTTCCTTTTTCCTGAAATATTATGAATGAATTTTTTTCGTTTAATTTTCTTTTCTGAGCTCTATTTCGTATCACTTAGTGTCATCTCGAGTGCTCAGAATTGGTTTCTGAGACTCTTTCATGTGAATTGACAACTTCCTTTGAGGACCGAGTCATTTTCACATTTTTCATTTTTGGACACTATGCGCTATTTCGTTCTTTTCCCTATTCTGTCTTTTCCCCATTTGTCACATTGTTGGCACAACCTCACTTCTCATGCTCGGAGTTGGTTTTTGACTTCACGTGCCTTCATCTTGAGTGGTTTTCTCGAAATACGTATCTTTACTTTTGCAAGAAAGTACTCTGGTTGCTCCCGGTGTCCATAGGGGGCATGGATGTAAAGTTCTTTGAAATTATTTTCTTTTCTTGGGGTGTTTTTCGTAAATATCTTTTGAAGATATTTTATTTCAGGGGTTTTTAAGAAAATATTTTTGGAAGATATTTTCATTTGGGGTCATAAGTGCAGTTTTCACTTTTTGGAGGGGCCATTATGCAATTAATGAAAGTTATTACAAAATGTCTTGTTTTGAGCCTGGATCCTCGTACGGGATTCATTTTCACATTTCGTCGAGTTGTGTACTCTTGGAATTTTCTCCTGGTCGATGTTTTCCAGTTTCAGGGTTTCTGGCCCCGGTTTTCGCCAAACTTGTTTTGGGTATAACTTTCTGCTCGGGACTCAGTTTTTAACTCCGTTTCTTCCGTTATTCATATTTTATCATTTTGAATCTTTTTCGTTCACAAAGTTTTTCCATTTGAGCGTGTCTGCTCAAATTTTACTTTTTCGGACCCGGCGGGGCCCGTTCGAGGCACTTTTTGAGATTTCTATAAAAGGGGGGTGAGATATTTCATTTTTCATCTTCTCCCCTCTTCATGCACGACCTGGAGCTCCCATGGCAGACCAAGGGGTGATACCATCTTCTCTCTCCTCTTTTGGTTCACTTTTCCTTGATGAAAAGTCTTCGGCCTTAACGTTTATTGTTCCCTTCGCCGTGCTCTACTTTTCCCCTTTATTAGAATTCAATTTTGACCATTTCTTGAGTTTTTGAGGTCAAGTTATGATTTTGACGGGGCTTTCATGGGGGTTATGTTCACGGCATTGTCCCCGACAAAACCTAGTAGTTTCGTCGGATTCGGAGCCGTTCCATTTTGGGGCCTTTGGGATTTTCATTTCAAATTGAGGTAGGAGATGTTCTAGGTTTAAATTCTTGTTATATAGCATGCTTGTGATACTTATACTACTTGTTTACATGATTAAATATAAAATCTAGAGATTTTATTATTTATTTTTCTTGTACGGGATCTAATTTTCCCGGTTACTCATGACTTGGTTTAAATATATAGCATGATTTTATATTACCCCTTGATATGCTCATTGTCGTGTATTAAAATTGAAACATTTGAATAAGTATTAAAGATTTTATTTAATATTTATCTTCGGTGAAAGATTAATTCACATGACCTTAACTAGCTTAAAATCAATATGTGTTAGCATACTAAATTAGGCCTTAGCATGCTCTTCAACATAGTTGAATTTGAAAGTAATTGGAGGTGTTTTGAAAATTAGTAATTATTAATTAATTTGATTAATTAATTTGCCCCGAATGCACTATTCACTCCATTCGAATTCCGACTTGATATTCTTGATCTACATGCCATATAGCTTCACATATATTTGATTTAGAATATTCGGTGAGGTTTTGAAACCTTTTATTTAATTAATTTCCTTGTTTAAGATTTAATCCTCATGGTGATATACAACTTTGAATTGAATTGTGGCATGCTAGAAAATTAAGCTTTGGTGTGGTTGTTCACATGTATTAAATTGGGATTAATTGCATGAGAATTGCAACCTTTATTTTATATTTAACTTTAGTGAAAGTTTAATTTACATAGGTGTAACTTGCATGAAATAAGCTTGAAATGTGATATTACATTAGTCCTTGACATGTTCTCTAAGATATGTTAAATTGAGAGCATTTGGTTAAGTTTGAAAAATCTAAAGATTTTAATTAAAAGAATTAATTAAAATCTATTTTGTGGTCCCATTAGCTTAATTAAGGTTTTAACTTGATATTTGTATTGGCCATGACTTGTTTACTAGTATATATTAATTTGGGACAATTAGAAATTGTTTTAGAACCTTGGTAATTAAATTAGTATGATTTAATTAAAGTTCTACTTTGTTGTTCCAACAACCTAATTGAGTTTTAGAATGGATATAGGTGATGACCATACTATGTCCTTTAACATGTATTAAATTGAGGTTATTTGGAATTGAATCGAAATCTAGAGAATTTAATTGTGTTTATCTATTTAAATTCTTTCAATTTGCTCCATGATCTAGTTGTGTTTTAGAAGTGGTTTCTATATTCAAATCATGGACTTAGACTTGTTGTATATTCATTTGGTTATGTTTTGAACATTGGATAACATAGTTACTATGTTTGTACTCATGAGAATATGTTTTTCTTATTAAATATATTGTTGCATTGTGTAATGATTTGCACACTTCATATTTAACATCATTCATGCATAGCGTGTAACGAATCGCACACTGAAGATTCGACATTCGTCACATCATATTAGTTGTGGACTTAGAGCATGTATTGTATAGGTTTTCAAATTTGGTTGTGCTTGGTAAATAGTTGATTATCTTGCATATTCCTGTTGATATATGCGTTGTTGCACAACTTGTTGATTTTGGAAGCTTGGGGATGTCGTTGTTTGACTATGGCTAGGACGTGGTTCTAGTACGGGGGATAGTCTCTCTATATGGTCTAGTGCGCACGTAGGGAGGTTACCCATGGGCTAGTAACCCTAAAGTAACTATGTTGTCGGTTTGATCCGGCGTGACGTCCGAGTATCCACTTTGTTTGATTTCGCATTTCATTTTCAAGTTGATAACTAGATGATGTTGTAACTTGTTGTTTCTTATTTGTCGTTCCATTTTAAGTTATAGGATCTTAACTTTGCGAAATTGTGCTTTATGCGTTGTATTGGAAGTTCCAATGTTGGTTAAATTGCATCGATATTGAAAATCGTGTTTTAACGTTCTAATAAAGCTTAGGATTGATCCTATTGATTCATTTATAACATAGACGTTAGGTGGCATGAACCACTACTGTTATTTTGTGCTTTAGATTCTAAGTTGATGGCTTTGAGAACTTAAACCTTGTTGCATTGTATAACATGCTCTTTTGTTGTTGAATTGCATGGATAATGTGATTCTTGTTAACTTGTATTCAAATATGCTTTTTTCATGTTGTATGGATTACTCTAGACCTAGTTCAATTGTATTGAAAATGCAATTCATGTTAATCTATGCTCAAGCATTCTTCTTGTCGTGTTCTTTGGATTATCCCAACCATGATTCGTTTCATACACGTATGTATATCATGATTCTTGTTGCTTAGACTCTAAGGTAGCTTAGGATGCTCCCTGAGTCTCACTTGGACATAGACGTTAGGTGGCATGAGCCCCTTGAACATGTTTCACCTTAAGGTGATAAATTTGTAAAATGCTAGGTCGATGCATGCTCATCTCCTACGAGTAGCTTTATGTTACTCACCCCTACGATACTAGGGCATATTTCAGGTACGAAGACTTGGTTCGTGAAGCCTAGCATTCCTTGGATGTCGTGTAGCTTTCAAGTTTCCATTTCATGCAAATGTTAGCATGAAATGTCATTTTGTAGACTTATATGTCAAAATATGTATATTTGATTTCATGTATGTAATGTGTACATAAGTGCACTCCTTTCAATGTATTTGACATGTATGAGATGAGGCCGGAGGCCAATAACATGTGTATTGTATTCTATACAACTTTTTAACTTCATGAAATATTATGAAAACCTTGAAAAATCGCAAGTCATTGCTTCACCATGGTTGCATCGGGTGTGGAAATTCTATTTTCATTCTCTCATAGAGTCTTATTAATCTTGTATGAAGTGTGACCAAGGGCCAAATGGTCATTTGACTCCATTTTACATTTTTAGGTTCCATGTTTTCCATTCCAAGTCAATTTTTGCCTTTTTGCCCGTTGGGGGGTCGGATTTTGCATCGGCTATATTTTTAAGCCATGGACCATTGTAGCGCGTCTAAATAGATAAGTTACGTTTGTGTGCATAGTCGTTTCCGGGCAAAACCTTATCATTTGTGTTTTGAGCCTCTTGTGAATTCATTTCGCATTTTTTTTGCATATTCTGATTTAGGGGCATTATGGACCTTTAACATCAGTTTTATTTTCTTCTTTTGACATGGTTGAATAGAAAACATGATTTTAGGGCGGTTTTTGTCTTCGTGTTTTTCCAGAAAATATCGTCTTGGTACCGGAAATCCCTCGTGAAGTTTCAGCTTCCAGTTTTCATTTAGCAGCTTTATGACTCTCTTGTTCAGTTATGATCTAGGGGCATTTTTGGGATTTCACAGTGAGTTTTTTTCGATTGCGTTCGCGTGGTCAGGTAGAAAACTCGATTTTAGGGGGGCTTTCTTCTTCGTGTTTTTCCAGAAAAACTCGTCTTGACCTCCGTTTCAAGCCTTAGTTCTGGGCAGATCAAAAAAAATGTAACAGCAGCCAAGGGCTGCCACCATGCCATGTCTTTGGGCGCCGGCATGCACACCGATGGGCTCACGCATGGGCGCCGTGTGCGCCATGGCCCCTCGTCAGGCCACCACGACGTCAATTCTTCTTTTGTGTGTTTCTCCTTCGTCCAGACTCCGATTCAAGTAATTTTTTTTTTTTAACTTGACTAATTTTTCGCTGTCTTTCCAACGATGTACTCGGTTGCACCTGATTCTTCCTGGATAATTACCAGTTTACCCTTTTGCCTTAAGTGCTCGTTTTTCTTCGTCATGCCGTTTCTCCTTCATCCGGACTCCGAATCATGCGATTCTTGAGTCCATCTTGATTAGTTTTTCATTGTCCTTCCAGCGGTATGCTCAGTGGCACCTGAATCTACAATTTTTAGAAATGACTATTTTGCCCCTGGGGGCTTATTTGTCATATTTTCGATCTTTTGCTTCCGCATCAGTTCTTGTTAAGTTCCACGACCTCATGGAAGGTCACTTTGACTTCTTAGAGTCTTATTTTCTGTTTTCGCTTCCGCATTCGGATCCGTTATCGGATCATTCTTACGGTTCATCACAGGATACGCTGGCCTAAAAATCAGGGTCGTCACACAATTGGTTTACAGAAAGCAAATTAAAAGGAAAATTATGAACATAGAGACTGGAAGACAAATATAACGATTTGGTAGGGTGAAGAACACCTTTTCCAAGGACAGTACGAGAAGAGCCATCAGTCAAAACAATGTGGTGGTTAACAGATTTCAAATCAGAAAAAAGAGATGAATAGATAGCACACTAGACATATTTGAACTCACTCCAGAGTCAATGACCTAAGACGGAGATGACTTGGCCACACATGCAACATTACTTGAAGTGGCTAAGGTAGTAGTGGAAGTGGATGGAAAAGTAGTTTGTAACATTTGAATAAGCTTGCTAAGTTGAGTGGTGAGTGCACCACAAGAACTAGAATAAGAAGCTACATGTTCAGTACCACTACGAGGTTGTGACTGTGAAGTACCATCGATAGCCTGATGAAAATAATCTGGCTTGCCATACTTTGCCCAACAATAAGGTTCAGTATGATTCGTACCACCACAATGATCGCATTTCCTATCTCCGCGTCCACAAGAATGACCACCACCACGAAAACCATGGCTGCCACGACCTCCACGAGAATCACCATTAATAGTACCACAACCCCCACCGGTAAAAACTAAGGCAGAAGACTCTGTGTGAGTTACACTGGAGCTTTGTCCCAAAGAGGACCTTAATAATCGAGAATATGCATTGGCAGCCGTAGGTAACTTTGCACTAGCAAAAATCTGATCTTTAAAGCCACGAAGATCGGAGTCTAAACAGGAGAGCAATGAAGCAATCATAAACTCCTCCCAATGACGCTTCTGTTGCTCCAAGTTAGTAGTAAATGGTTGATGTTGCAATAACTGATCTCACAAATTTTTAAGGCTGCCGCAGTACTCAGACAATGGTTTCCCGGACTGGTTAGTAACGAAAACCTGCTCATACAACTCATAAACCTGAGAAACATTAGATGACGTCAACCCCTTCCAATGTTTTGCAACTTGGCAAATATTGGTGCTTGACTTCAATATGCTGCTCTGTTACCAAGGGAATTTGTGTCTAGGATTAGCGAGGAGAAGCGGAAGGAGGAAGAAAAGAAGGAGAAGTCAGAAAAGCTAATCTGATGGTTGTAGGGTTTCTACACCACCTTTCTTGTATATATATTGAGATGATAAAATTACAATAATGCCTCAAAATAAACAAGTGAAATACTAGAAACCCTCTAACTTTAACAACCATCATTATAATTTCACCCTATTTATGTTATAGTTTAATTACTCTTAAGTCCGAGAGAATATTGGACTTGCATATTAATTAAGTAATTACTTTGATTTTTTCAGAGGACCATTTGTTCCAAATATAATTTCACCCAACGTGTCTGTGTTGTAATTTTTTTGGATTTGTCGTGTCACCGTAACCGTGTCGTGTCATATATGTGTTCCGTATCCGTTTTTGTGCTTCTTAGTATGTATGCATGTATATGTTATGTGTATGCATGCAAGCATGTATATTATTGTCAAATTTTAGGGGTGTGATCGTCAGATATGGTAATAATGTTTTTGTTTGAAATTGTGCAACTTTTTGTTGCTTACTCTTTTTTTTTTTTTTTTTTTTTTTCCCCCGCAATATGTTTGATATTTCATTTCACTTATTTACATTGTAGATTTCAGATACCACATTTGTTGATAAGAAAGATACAGCAAAGACTCTTTACATGCTCTGGAAAGATGATTACCTGCTTATGGAGGTATATAGTATCTCTTTTGTTCATTTGCTTATTTTTTCTGATCAGGTGATATAAACCCTCTAGAAGAAGTATTGTACTATTGTATACAGTTTCATTGTTGATAATTGTGGTTGGCACAAAACACTAAATACAAACCTTGATCCTCACTTTGGACTGATCTGGCTGTTGGAAATGAAATGGTAATTGATGCAAAGCAGTAACTGTCTCATATATAGGTTGCTGCTGATGTTAGGCACCATTTGCTTCCAACTACTTGTCACCACGTCCATTTAATTGAGGGTAAAGTGCTGGAGGTTTGGGGTATTGCCATCGGATTAAAATTTAAGAAAAAAATGTGGTTAACCTTCCTTAAGGTTTGCATGAAATTTCCATGACCTCCCTTGCCGTGAACCGTTAGGTCCATTAAAAAATTTATTGATAAATCCCTAAATAACCTCATGTAAATGAAATGACAAATCATCATACTAACAGTGATGAAATTACAATTCTCTCTCCCTTTCTTCTCAACTCCCTCTCACCTCCATAACCACCAACCCTCCCAGCAGTCAGCACCATCTCTCTCTCTCTCTCTCTCTCTCTGTGTATATATATATATATATATATATATATATATATATATATATATATATGCTTATCTATATATGTGTGTGTATATATATATATAGTTGCAGATTGCTCAAACTTATGAATTCCCAATCGTTAATTTGGAAATGCATTACATGATTTGATATAAATATTACATATGTATATAACAGAAATACTCCCTTTGACAAGGGATAATTTTGTCACCTCACATTTGACGTTGTTAGGATTTCCAATTCTGACAAGGGATGTAATGCAATCAGCTATGAAAGAAAGAAAATAAATTTGAAGAAGGAAAATCAGAGAGCTAATTCAAACTAAAAAATAGCTTAAGCACCCACAACTCAATCCCGCAGAAAGGGAGAGGTAAAAAACTGCTACAATAGATTGAATATTTTGATAATACGTAAAAGGCGCTGATTACAACTTGGAACAACCCTTTTATAAGCCCCAAGGGATGCCCTAGCAAAGATTTAATCCTAACCCTTCTTATAAATATAATCTAATGGCTACTATTTTGTCCAGCAGAATAAAAGATGTTAAAATTCACAAAGCAGGCCTTGAACAGACACATGACACTTATAAGGCACATAACTTATAAAATAAAACCAAAATGAAAATAATACCCTAACTACAGGATAAAGCAAACATTAAACATAAAATTTAGGGTAATTTGCACTCATGCCTTGCAGAATTAGTTTCCTTGAACCTATCGAGAAATTCTTTGATTGGACATGTTATTTAAAAGATTAGTAAGTTGAAAAAGTTAGAATCTCTAGACTTATCCAGTAACCAACTTTCTGGTGAGATTCCTGCAAGCATCACTCATTTAAACGTTCTTGCTGTATTGAATTTGTCAAATAACAATTTGTCCAGAAAAATTCCATCAAGCACTCATCTTCAAAGCTCTGATGCCTCCGCATATGCTGGAAATAATGAACTTTGTGGGCTTCCTCTTCCAAATACGTGCCCAGGAGATGAAACAACTCTTGATCCTTCGGTTATCAATCGTGATAAAGACAACATCATTCAAGGAGATGAGGATGGGTTTATAAACCGAGAATTTTATATCAGCATGGGGCTAGGTTTTGGTGTTGGATTTGGTGGTGTCTTTGGCACAGCACTTCTCAAACGTTCATGGGAACATGTCCTTTTCAAGCTCTTGAACAGCACAAATGATTGGCTCTATGTGACAACAACAGTGAATATGGCAAGATTGAGGTGGCGACTTCAAAGCTAATAGGTAAATATCTCATTCGGTGTTTCTGTATTAGCTGAACGTTTACTCATTCAATTTGTTGCTGCATTAGCTAGATGATCAGCACTTATGACAATCTATATATAGAACTTTATTATAAAAAATGACACTAAAAAAAACAAAAATAAAAATTTGGAACGTTTGAGAAGTGCCGTGCCAAAGACACCACCTAAACCTAGCCCCATGCAGATATAAAATTCTCGGTTTATAAACCCATCCTCATCTCCTTGAATGATGTTGTCTTTATCACGATTGGTAACTGAAGGATCAAGAGTTGTTTCATCTCCTGGGCACGTATTTGGAAGAGGAAGCCCACAAAGATCATTATTTCCAGCATATGCGGAGGCATCAAAGCTGTGAACAGCACAAATGATTGGCTCTATGTGACAACAGCAGTGAATATGGCGAGATTGAGGAGGTGGCTTCAAAGCTAATAGGTAAATATCTCATTCGGTGTTTCTGTATTAGCTGAACTTTTACTCATTCAATTTGTTTCTGCATTAGCTAGATGATCAGTACTCAATCTATATAGAACTCTACTATAAAAAATGACACAATAAAAAAAATATAAATAAAAATTTGGTTCCTCTGCTTGTAAACTAATGTTGTCTCTAGTTTGTTTTCTTAAACATGATTACTGATATGGCCTCTTTGTCATATGCAATTCTCAGATAAATGTTTAGGAAAGAATAATTAGGAAAAAAAAAAGTTTGTTTCCTTCCATTACTCACAATAATTATACACAATCTTCAGTTATTTGTAAAAAAAAAAAAAAAAAAAAAAAAAAAAAAAAAAAAAAAAAAAAAAATCTTCGTGACGTCAGAGGTAACTTGAATAAGTTTAACTCAAAACTCTTATTTTCTTTCAAAGATTCAATCTTTATACATTAAAAACGTCTAGTGATATAATGGGTACTTTGATTGAAGTATTTTCATTCAAAGATTCAATCTTTATACATTAAAAACGTCTAGTGATATAATGGGTATCTTGATTTTTTTTTTTTTTGATAAGTGATATAATGGGTACTTTGATTGAGCTATTTTCATTCAAAGATTCAATCTTTAGTCATTAAAACACTCTCCGGGACTTCATAGGGAACTCGAATAAGTTAAACTCAAAACTCTCATCTTAAAAACAATAAGAATAAGAAGTCTACATGTTATGTGACATCAACATTCAGTTAGATTACGTTAAAAATTTGACTGATTAATTTGATCAACCTCATTTTTGATTTACTCGAACCCTCTACGGTCTCTATCTTTCAAGGCTTTAGCTTTGTCCTTCCCCATTGCCATTCGTAAAAGCTTGTGCTATCTCATGTCCTTCTGCAACAAATAAATTGGCCATTTTTTAGCGAACCAAAATCGTCATTTTCACAAGAATTACCCAAGAAAAAAGGTCCCATTTGATCATTTATAAAGGAAGACATAGAATATTAAGACCAGATAAAGTTCTTCAAGGTGGTTCAGTAATGGACATATAAAACTAGCGATCACAGATTTCTATTGGAGAATTGACGAGGATTTTCATTAAAAAAAAAATAAAAAAAATTGCGGGTTTTGATGATGCAATTAACATGAAGGCATTAGGCTTTAGAAAGGATATGACCCTAAGACCATCAACTTTCAGTCAAAAATATGCCAGACGAGATTATCCCTCTCTGCCTTTTACTCTTTCAATTTCCTTTTTAAAACAAGTAGGGATCTATGCCAAACCCTCGCCATCTACAGTGGCTTCATGGGGAAAAAAAAAAGAAAAGAAAATGAAAAAAAATAAAAAAAATAAAGGATTATGAAACATTTCTTGTAAATTTACACACTTATCTGAATTTCAGGATTCCTAAAATCTCTTACTATTTGAACATGATTGTGTGGAAATTTGAATTAATGTGCATTATATATCAGTATATATCATTCCAAAGTCAGGACTCACTACATTCAAAATCCCACTAAATGTGGCTCTATACTTCATATGTGCAACTAATGGAGAACAAAAGCTTTCAGCAGATATAGTGCAGCTCACACCTATGCGCCTACCATAATCTTATTCAAGAAGTTCTAACCATATATAAGGATGAATTCAAAGGGTCAAAAATAAATAAGCAATTATGATTCAAACCCCAACAATTGAAGTTGTAATTGATAGCATTGTCAGTTTTAAAGGGAAAAATAATTATATCACGATATGGAGGATATCCTGTGTAGAACTGACATGTTGGGCCAGGGAATTAGATTGCTTTGAACAATTTAAGTGTGTTGTTCAGTTTGATCATTTTCAATATTATGATAATACTAGAAAACTTAAAATAAGAAATTATTTAGATAGATTATGAGTTATCTAGAATTTTGGTGTTCAAGTCTTTGTGGAGTTGTGAAATTTGAGCCCTACATATTTAGGAAGAAAAAGAAGTTCCCTGTGTGTGCGCGCTTATATACATGAGATGACCCAGAAACATTCGTATTTATTATTATTATTATTATTGGTAGTGGTGGGAAGGGGAGTATTACGGAAATAAAAAAATCATAGTTAGTATGAAAATAAAATATATAGCAATAGTAAGTTAAAATTGTAGTCAAGTTTTTCTACAATAAAGGAAGAAACTTTATGGAGTGGCCCCAATCGGCCAAGATTTCCCTGATAAGCAAAGCGAAAATTAAGTATGTAACCGGATCTGCAAAGCCTTCGGCAGAAGATGATCCGAAGTATGAAAATTGGGAGACCACGGTGATCTCTTGGCTACTCCATTCAATTCAATCGGAGATCAGCGAGACATATCTACTCCTGCCCATTGCCAAGGATATTTGGGAAGCAGTCACATGAACCTACTCCAAGGGAGATTTTGCCTCCGAAATATTTGAACTAAAGCGGCAGATTATCAAAACCCAGCAAGGTTCTTCAACTGTCACGGAGTATTATAATGTTCTTAAAGGGTTGTTGACAGAACTGGTGTTTAATTTGATGAATTGTATTTTGTTCATATCATTTCATAAATTTTAAAGAGTATTTATAGGCTTGATTCTAGACATAATCCCTAGAACCAAGCAACAAAATCCATAGAATATCTTCTATATATGGTCAAATATATAATCTTTAACACACCTAATTCAAACATTTGATATTTTAGAAATCTTTGAATTCCTTAATTCAACACTCCCCCTCAAGTTGGTGCATAGATGTCCCACATGCCCAACTTGTCTAAAAACTTTAAGAACACTCGATTTGAGACTGCTTTGGTGAGGATGTCAGCCAACTGATCCTCTGATCGAATCTTAGGTAATTCCACAAGCTTTCCATCCAACTTTTCCTTAATGAAAAATCTGTCTACCTCAACGTGCTTTGTACGATCATGTTGAACTGGATTATGCGCGATATCACATGTTGCTTTATTATCACAAAACAGTCGGATAGGTTATTTAGATAGTAACCAAAATCCTGCAAGAGGTTTCTTAGCCATAATGCCTCACAAAGTACATTTGCCAAACCTCTGAATTCAGCTTCTGCACTTGAGCGAGCTACAACATTTTGTTTCTTGCTTCTCCATGTCACAAGAGTACCTCCTACGAAATTAAAGTAACCAGAGGTAGATCGCCTATCATCTATGGATCCAGCCCAGTCAGCATCAGTATATGCAACTATGTTTTGATAATCAACATTTTTAGTGAACAAAATTCCTTTTCCAGGAGCAGATTTCAGATACCTCAAAAATGTGTATAATCGCATTCATATGTTGCTCTCTAGGATCATGCATAAACTGGCTAATGATACTCAATGCATACGTTAGATCTGGTCTCGTATTTGCTAAGTACATCAATCTCCCTACAAGTCTTTGGTATCTTCCTTTATTAGCAGGTACTTGGTTTGACTCAACACATAACTTTAGTCCTTCTTCCACTAGTGTATTAGCTGGTTGATATGCTGTCATACCTTTCTCTTGTAATAAATCTAAAGCATATTTTCTTTGAGATAGAAAGATCCCTTTATTAGATAGAGATACTTCGATCCCAAGAAAATATTTCAAATGACCTAGATCTTTTATTTCAAATTCTTTGGACAAGTAATTCTTGAGAGCCTTTATTTCTTTAGGATCATTTCTGTAACCACCATGTCATCCACATATACAATGAGTGCAATGATCTTACCATATTGTTTCTTCAGGAATAAAGTGTGGTCTGAATTGCTCTGATGGTAGTCAAATGCTATCATAGACTTTGTGAACCTTCCAAATCATGCTCTCGGAGATTGTTTCAACCCATATAACAATTTCTTTAACCTGCGCATCTTCTAACTATGTTGTTCGGGTATCATGCATCCTGGTGGGAGATCCATGTAAACTTCTTTGGATAATTCCCTATATAGAAAAGCATTTATTACATCAAATTATTGTAATGGCCAACCCAAGTTTGCAGCTAAAGATAGCAGGACACGAACTATGTTGATTTTGGCTACAGGTGCAAATGTTTCTGTGTAATTAATCCCATAGGTTTTAGTGTATCCCTTTGCTACCAGTCTTGCCTTAAAGCATTCTATTTTGCCGTCAGCCTTGTACTTCATGGTGTAAACCCACTAACATCCAACTGGTTTCTTCCTTGGTAGAGGATCAACAAGTTCCCATGTGTCATTTTATTTCAGAGATGTCATCTCCTCATTCATAGCTGCTTTCCATCTGGGGGTCAGCTAAGGCTTCCTGCACACTGTTAGGAATAGATACAGCAGATAAGTGATTCACAAATGGCATGTTTGATTCTGACAAACCATGGTTAGACACATAATGACTCATAGGGTATTTTACTTTACTAGAAAGTTCAGGTTCATATGTAGTTTTAGGAATACCTCTGGTGTGAAGCTGTGGCAACTGTCTTTTGTGTGGCTCAGGAATATTGTAATACCCCTAATTCTAAAAAGAGAATCTTAAAATTTATTTATTTGTTATAATTGTATTTTTAATTGTTTAGTTGATCATTTGACTAATTGCTTATGCGTTT